AATCTCAGCACATCAGGTGCCAGTCCCAAGGGGGTCTCTGTGACTGAATCCGTCACACAGAGGGAGTGTTAATCTGTCCCCAGGGATGTTGGCGGCACGATCGCTGGCTGTAGGTTTGCAGCACCAGCAGGTAGGAGCCAGACATGTCGAGAGAAGAGGTTTGCCCAACTGAACCTCTCCCCGGAGCTCCGAAGGGCTGGGATACGCTGGGTGCCGCCGTAGCTGTCTCTCTATTGCTGGGCCTTGAGCTCTGGTTTCTGACTGCAGTCAGTGCTGGCTCCCCCCCCGAGGCCCAGGCAAAGCGTCTGCGCCTGCCCTACAGGGCACCTCCCCCTGCAGAGCCTGCTAACACGGGAGCCGGCTGCGTGGCTGCTTCCTCCTCTGGCCAGGGCACCTCTCCCCACAGTGCTCGACGGCCGAGGGATGTGGGGTCACCCTGTGGCCAGTGTACACCGGTGAAGCCATTGTAAATCACCGCCAGTGTAGGGGGCCTCCCCAGCAAGCTCAGACTGCATGCCCTCCTCCCACCACAGAAGCCCCTGGCACACAGGGCATGGCGCGGGCATTCCTTCCTCCCAGTTAGCCCCCAGTAGCAAACCTGCCCTGGGTCCCGTTCCTATTTGTGCTGGGGGCCTGATCAGCCCCAGCATAGGGGTGGGAGAAGCCCCTATGTCGTCCGCCCCTGTATGTGACTCTCCACACTTATTTCGCATCCATCACACGGGTACCAGCCTGTGGTCACTGGGCTGGATTCGGATCTGCAGGAGACGTTCTCCATCCCCCACCCCCCTTGAGCCGTCTCATCCCCGTTCCGTTATAAAACTCCCGTTTCATTCAGCAGGGCCCCTGGACCTTTGTTCTATTAATAGCTCTCTGTGCTCACGTATCAATGTCTCGTGAACGATACCGCCAGAGTCCCCGACAACTGAGGCTAGAATGGAAACTTCAGCAGTTTCCCCACCCCCACCGGGGTTTGATCCAATTTGTAATAAACCCCCCAACCTGTGAATTAGCAGTGAGACTTGGCCCTTTCTGCCGGACAAAGGGAATGTGATGGTATCTCTAGAACCGTTCCTGGCAAGGAAGCGTGGTGTAGAGCCCCACAGCCCGGTGCGCGGCAGTAATCAATGTTATCTCCACCGCACACTGTTCCTCTGATAAACCTCCGGTGTTTTAAAAAAAAACTGCCTGGGTTTTAGCGATCGCAATTCAAATGCCAAGCACTGGGCATTCAAGGTGGACTGAATCGGCACTGCGGCATGACTTTCTGGGGGCGCTGGTGCTGGATGGCTTGTCTTTCAGAGGAGACGTACAACTGAGGTCCCCGCCACCTAGGATTTCTGGCACTTTAGAAGCCAGGTATTAACCCTGCTGAATGTCAACTCCATGGTGCAATTTTGCCTCCTTAAATCTCGCCCCCTCTCCATACTTTTTATTGGCTCAATGCTTAGCACGGAGGATTCCTGTTTCTGATTAGGACCCCTAGGTGCTATTATATTACAAATAATAATTGTTGCATGGTGTTGCTGAGTGCTGTTAAGCAATTGCTGCGTTCCACCCCAGAGGTGGCTGCATTTTGGTGGTGCATGAAGTGATTTCAGGTGGGTGGGGCATGTATGTAATCTGTAAGGCACTTAGGATCCCTGCGGATGACTCTCCCAAGAGAAACATACCTGCTAGTGTCATTGTAATCTATGGTTTAGATGCCTTTGAGGATTCAACAGGATCTGCCTATCAACAGATACAGTGGCAGCTCCTCTGAGTTTGGGCTCTCAGAACTAGATGAAATCTCATTTTTGGCTGAAACGGAAGAAGAACCGCAAATGCAAATAGAGCGGAAAGTGCTCAGTGCTGCCCCCTGCAGGTAGAGTTCCCTCCAATGGTTGTGCAAGAGAATTCTTCTGCTCAAGTCTTGTTGAGGTTTGGCGTGAGTCTCAGTGAGTGCAGTTTGCACAGGGCATCTCGCCTCGCCCATACCAGAGGGGACGTGAAAGAGGCAGCCGCTCGCCTTCCCTCTGACTGACGGTGCGGTGGGAGAAGGCAGGCTCTGACCTAGGCCAGGTGGCTCTTGGGTGGCAAAGGAAATGCCTGCAGCTCATGGGAGGCTGAGTCAGCTCATTCTCACCTGAGAATTTATTTCTAAGCTAAGTACACGTGTACTCGCCCCAGCTGTATGTGCACACGTGTGTGTCCCTTGAAGCGCTGAATGCCTGTTTCCACCAGAAGCAACGTCCCAAGCCCAGGCTCTTGGTGGCTATTGAAGATCTGGTGGCTCTTTCCTTGAGTAGGCTGTGTCTGTGATGTCTTGGGGGCAGAGGAAGGCAGGCTCCACCCCAGAGGTACCTGCATTTTAATGGGACTCTGTGTACCTAGGGGACTCCTGCTTCCGTTGAAGTTCTAAGACACAAGTGCCTATACAGCTGATGACCTTATTCCTGGCTGCTGGGGGTACAACAGCAAGGAGATAGGCACAGAACCCCCCAGAGTTTTTCTTGGGGCGGGGGGGATAAAGCTGAGCTGTGTACATTGGGAGCATCAGTGTTCCACCTGCCACTGGTATAGAGACCCCAGGGCCAAACAGCCGCTAGTCTTGTGTTTGCCCAGAACGGAGCCTCCTTGATGAGGGAGACCCCCGACCCGTCACACGTCCTCGCTCCCCGGTGTTGGCAGCCGTTGGGGGTTGCCCTTGTGCCCAGCAAGGGAGATTCTCACGCTGCGTTGGCGGGGCCGGAATGAAAAGCAAAGGCAAAAGAGGCTAGCGAGCTGGACTTGTAAGCCGGGCCTGCGGCTCGGAGGGCACAGTCACCTTGAGAGTTCCTGCTAGCTGGGGCGGCCTCTTCCCCCGGCTGCCTCTGGGCCCCCTCTCAGCATCAGGGAGTCCTTGAAAGGAGGTGGCAGCTTCGAGCAGCGACGGGGGTAACCGGACTGGTCGCTGTCTCACCCCCGAGGTGGGGCGGATGGGAGTGAGAAGGGCTCAGTAGCTGCTCCCTGGGGTCGGACCTGGGAACAGACTGGCCCCTGGTAACCCTGCTCTGCGGTACCCTGGCGCCGTTCCCCGGGGGCCCCCGTTCAGCGATTGCTGAGCTGACGGCTGTTTTCAGAAGGTTCCTCTGAGCCGCGGTTTGTTTGTGTAAATATTTGGACGTTTCTCAGGCGTGATTATGCAGCAGCCTGCTCCTCATGCATATTCAGAGGCCTCCAGCGACTGATTTCCCCGGGGAATATTGGCTCGAGGCTGGGGTGACGGGCCCAGAGGAAGGGAAGCAGGTCTGATGCTGGTGGGGGGGTGGGTCGAGGAGAGGGGTGTCTGGGCTGCTGCTGGGCCCTGCGCTGGGAGCCCCGGCTGGGCTGCAGCGACCAGGTTTCTGCAGTGACCTGCTGCAGGCTACTGTGACGTTGATGGGCACTTGGTGGTGGTTACCAAGCACTCTTCCCAGCCACTGATTGGCTGCCAGCAGCAGTGACAGCCCACGCCGGAGCAGCTCCCCTCACTGGGGAGAAATTGAGCAACATTGGGGGACTCTAGAGCTCCCTAGGCCCCCTTTCTCCATCTCTCTTGTCTTCCCATAGCTCATCCCTGGCTGCCCTTTCTTCTTCTCTCCAGTCCTTGCCCCAGTTTCCTGGACGTAACTCTCCTGAGCCTCTGGGCTCCTTAGTCTTTCAGCAAGTTCATGTTCTAACCTTTCTCTCCTGCTGCCAGGCTGTAGCATATGGGGATCCCACTGCACACACCAACCAACCCAAGCATCCCGTGCTTGCTCTGGAGCAGCAGAGAGAGCAAGGAGTGGGGGAGCCCCTCATGGGGTAGGGCAGGAGGGGATGCTCTGCTGCCTCGGGTTGGGGGTGGGTGGATCTGGGGGCCTGAAGCCTGTGATAACTCCCAGCCCTCGCTCCGGGGAGAGGCACTGCACTTCCTGACTCAACGGCTCTGATACAGAAGCATCCCTGCTGGCTCTGCTGCCCAGGTTCTTGTTGGCTGGAGTCTGTGCCAGTCCCCTTGGCTGGAGGGCCTGGCTGGAGCCTTCGGCTCAGCTGAGTGGGGACTCGGCGCTATTGCCATCTGATGGGTTGGCGTGGGGTGAGATGAGTATGCTGGGTCTCAGGCCAGCTCCCAGGGCTCCATGTCCCAGAAAACACCTCCCCAGCTGGAGCCAACCGGCCTGTGGGCAATCTCTGTGCAGATGGGCTGTTGGGACGAGGTATCTTGAGAGGTCTCAGGTTTCACTGCCTGGGTAAGTTCAGAGACTATGAAAAGCTTTTCCATGCTGTGCTGCCGGAAGTGGCTTAGCTGGACTCTGAGCGTTTGCCATGGGCCAGTCTGCTCCGGGCTGGCCGGTTCTAGGCTGGTGTGACAATTTGAGAACTCTTTCTATCCTGTTTGACACTGGGGACGCTGGGTGTATCTGTCAGACTGCACACTCCATTTTCCGTCTGGGGCTTGTCTGCTTTCTCTGGTGTCGTTTTACCTCCGTGTCGGACTGAAAGCCCAAGGGGTGGTGACACAGGGCTAACAGCAGAGAGTCGTTAAACTTTCATGGTCCTCGATGCACATGGAAGTCCGCTTGGAGAAAGAATTGGCTCCCCTCCCCTCCAGAAGAACCAGTCTGCCAGGTGTGCTGCTAGCTAAGCACTGGATCACCTGATGAGGCTGATTGGGGGGGTCACCTGATAACGGGACCTGGAAGTTATTAAAGAAAGGGGCCAGTAAGAAACCTTTGAGAGAGAAGGCGGTGCCCAGGAAGCGTGCCAGAGAGGCCAACGCTCAGTCTCAGAACGGGAACGTGAGTTCTTGATTCCCTGTGCTCACGCTACTGGACCTCCTTCCCTAAAATCCTGCCTCCGGTGACATTAAAAATAAACTCTGTGAAAACACTTCTGTTCCCACTAAAACAAAAAGCGCTTGAATTGCCCCCTTGCCGCATAGGGGCTGATGAATGGCGCATGTTTTCTACTATCATCTGCTGATGCTTCTCCCTTTTATGTCCCCCTCCCTGCAACAGGCATCATGTACATTATGTTATTCCATACGACGGGGACCAGTCGGTGGTGGATTCCTCGGAGAATTACTTTGTGACTGACAATGTCACCAAGCAGGAGATTGATCTGATGTTGGGACTTTTGCTGGGCTTTTGTATAAGCTGGTTTCTGGTGTGGATGGATGGAGTTCTCCATTATGCTGTGCGAGCCTGGAGAACCAGCCGACGGTACGGTAAGTGCCTCCTTGCGAGCTCCCCACCCCGCCGGAGTCCTTTGGCTCATCAAAGGAAGTTTGAGTTGTTGTCGGGGTTTGGGGGGTTTAATATTCTTTTCAGAGGGTTTGTATGTTTGACTAATTTGTCACAGGCTTGTTTGGCTGAATTCCAGCTCTCTGCATACAAAGTGAACTTTACCTGTAAATATTTACATGAACGTCCCTGGTACCATGAGGGAAAGTGGGATTTACCCGCGAACGCATGATGGAGCAAAGGGGTGTTTGCTGGAGAACGAAATGTATGTGGAAAGTCGTATTGTTTGCATGGGTCAATGTGTTGTATGCAGCGTGGTTGTTGCCGTGTGGGTCGCAGGATCTCAGAGATTCAAGGTGGATGAGGTAATTAATATCCAACTTCTGTTGGTGAGAGAGACGAGCTTTCGAGCTTATGCTGGGCTCTTCCTGTCTTTCTCACCAACAGAAGTTGGTCCAATAAAAGATATTCCCTCCCCCACCTTGACTGGGTAAATTTGTGGCATTCTGGGAATTTGATGGAAAGATTAAATGTGTGTAAAGATTTCTGTGTATATATTTACAGCGAGCCATCAACTTGCGGTGGGAAGTTGATGTTGGCGGCAGGGGGAAATTAAATGTCCATGTATACTAGTGGGGATGCGATGAGATTCTCACCCCCCCCACACCCCCGGTCTTGAAGCTTCGCTAGTTGATCAGCATTGTTCCAGATGTGGTCATTTGTGCTGTGCATGCTGGGGAATCTCCGGTTGGCAATGGCAGCAGTCAGGGGGGACTGGGTGGGCCGGACGCCACTTTTAGCCAAGAGCAGGAGCAATAGGAACATAGGAGTTCCCACGCTGCATCAAACCTGTGGCCCATCAAGTCTAGCAACCTGTCTCTGGCAGCAGCCAGCCCCAGATGCGCAGAGGGAAGGTTCAAACCCCCCTTTCTCTAGTCCCAGGGTTTCCCAGCACAGGCTTTCCCTGGTATTGTGACTGGAAAAGAAACGGAGAAAATGGAATAAAAATAACAAAAGGCGACTTGAAATCCTACCGTCTAATCAGTGTCTGTGTAAATTACACTCTCTAAATGCCAGTTGATGTCTGTTAAATTACAATTTTTTTTTTAAAGAAAGCTTTATGCGCAAACCTATATAAAAAAATTCTAATTAGGGAAACTGACTGCCTCTTTCTAAAAACTTCCATCAAAATGATATTAATTTCTCATTAGAGCGTCCAAATCCCCAGCAACCTGCTCAAGCAATTTCTGAATTGGGCTGTCTCTTGAGCCTCTTGTGTTGTCTGTTCCGAAGTGGAAGGCTTATTTTCAGAGGGGTCCTGCAAGACCTAAGGTATATAGCTAAGATGGGGCCCTCCAGCCATCCCACCTACATCCATCATCTCCTCAGATCTCATGAGCTAAGCGGGGCCGAGAGAGGTTAGCATGTGGATGGGAGGAGAGAGAGAGACGGCTGGAGCATCACAGTCTTTGAGAGCTGATTTCTTTAGTTATGTGTCTGGTTGAAGGATAAATAACTGGGCAGAATCTTCAACCCCCTGTAAACAGGGTCTTCATAGACAATTGTTAGTAACGTAAAGGGGAAAAGGGCCCATCTATCTCTTTGATCTAGCTGGCTTTTCTTTCATTCCTTCTTTTCACTTTTCTGTGTCCATGTGCCCTATGAGCATTGGCGAGGGTTAAGAAGCCAGTGATTCATTAGGTCGGTAAATTGCAGGCCAGAGATGTAAATGTTCAGGACAAAATAGGACCCAGCTGGGAAAAATAAATACCTTCCCCTCGAATAGCCTGGTGGTGACGTGGAGCTGGGATGCGTCAGGGGAGCCAGCCCACGGCGTCCAGAGCTTTGGGCACCCCTGGGTAACAGCTGCAGAGGGGGAAGCAGCAGTTTGTCACTTGGCCGGATGTGCAGGGTGCAGCTGTAATGGTGGTAGTATGGAGGGCAGCTCTTGGGCACAGGCTACCTTTGTATTCGTTGGGGGAAGGGTTGAGTACTCCCCACCGAGTGTCTGGTGAATCAGCATTTGGGCACACTCCCGGGCTTAGCTCTGTGTGTTGGCATCTGTGTGTGTTGGTGTGGATTTGTGCACAGGTGTGTTCTTGTGTCTTTGTGCAGCTGGGGGTGTGTCTAGGCATTTCCACGTGAGCGCACGTGCAAGAGCGGGTGGGGCTGTGAGCGAGCTCTGGGTGGCTGTGTGTGTTTGGGAGTGGGCGTGTGTGTGCACACAGGCAGACAGCTGTTTGTGCGTGGGTGTGTTTCTATGTGAACGCGTCTGCTTGTTTCCGGGGTGCTGTGTGCGGGGCGGCTGTGGGAGCACACCAGCCTGGCTTTCCCAGTGAACTCAAGCTGAGTGACATCAGCTACTCTGGAAAGTGCTTGGGGCCAAAACCCAACAACAAAAGAATGACGTGTCTTCCCACCCCCCCACACCCCCTCCGAGCTCCTGGGAGCAGAATAACCGCTCCCCCAGCGCAGGCTTGGGGAAGGAGGCAGGAGCCCTGCTCAGTGGATTGCCCCCCGCCCAAACTGCGCCTGGCTCTTCTCCAAGAACGCACCCCTTTAGTCTGGGGCGTCCTACTGGGAGCAACTTGGCTTGGAGCCTCCTGTACTCTTGCCGGGCTGCTGTCACTGATGCCTTGCAGAGCCCTAGTGGAGTCTGGCAAAGCTGTGACTTGCCCCGGTGCAGCCGGCCCCTGGCTTCCCGCAGGGTGGAGAGTCTCCCCAGGGAGTTTGCAGGGGTGCAGCTAGATGGGACTCACCAAGCCCCAGCAGGGCTTAGAACGAAACCTGGGATGGATTCTCTGAGCCGGATCCATCACTGCCCAGGAGGCCGTTCAGACGCTGCAGAGGCTGGCAGGGAGCCTGGCACAGCTGCAGCCCCGCTTGCATGGCCCCAGGGGGCGCTGTGTATGGATTCCGAATAGTCACCCCGTCTGCCCAAGCCCCATCCACTCTGCCTTCCTCGGCCCATCCTGGAATCCCCCTGCACCCAGAGGTCCTGCAGATCCAGAGGCACTTGCAAGGGAAGGAGTTGACCTCTGCCCTGCACTCCTTTGTGCTGGCGTAGGGGTGCAAAGGGGCAATGTTGAATTGGGCCCTGTGGGGGCAGCTTGTCCTTTGGCTGTTCCAGAGCCCTCATAGGGAACCTGGAAGGGCTGTGCCCGGAGTGTGTCACGCCCTGTGCTGGGCGCCTGTCTCAGTTTATCCTACCTTGGAACAGCATCTCTGACCCTGAGCGTTCAACAGAAAAATCACAAGTCAGGCCCCCGCAGTCATGAGATTTTGTAAGACAACCACTTGGGGTTTCTGAGCTTTAGGGGGTCCCATTTTCAAGCTCTTTTCTGCAACCAGGGAAGCGAAAAACTTCCCCTTTCAAACAAAAAGAAAGCGAGATGAGATTGTCACCTGACTCCAGCCGCTGGGGCTTTAAGAAAATTACCAAATAGCATGAGACTCTGCAACACCTAACGCTGCATACGTTGTATGGACGGTGTTTTTAGTCCTAGCTGCCTTTTTCTGTTGGGAGTGCGGAGAGGGGCAGTTTTCTCTCTGTTCACTTTGCTCCCATGCTTGCATTGCTCTCCTGGGAGGTTACAGACGAAGAAAGGCAGGCTGCATTTCATAGCTGGCACCTTTATTGGGAACCCAGCATGGGGACTGGCTCCACTTGGAATAATTAAGCAGCTCCATTGCTGAGAATTATTAGCCATTGTTGGACTGGGGTTCTGTCACTGACACGCCGGGTGTTACAGAAAAATGGCCCAATAAAAGCAAACTAAAAGTGAAATAAAGTGGCTGTAGCCGAGCAGGGCTGGAAATGAAATTAACACCGTGTTTGTTGCTGCAAGGACGCACTGAGGTTTTAACATATCCAGCTGCCGTTGTGTGGTGCTTTCCGGTTTCACAGCATTTTGCCAACTGATTAGTCTACTCACGGGCCAAGAGTAATTATTACCATGAGCCGCATTTTACAGAGGGGAAACTGGGGCACAAAGCAACTAAAGGGGGGGGGGAAGAGGCTGAGATTATAACTGTTGTATTAATTTAGATGCAATATATGGCCCCTAAGAGTGAAAGGTGTTAACAGGACCTTATCGCCATCTAGCATCAACAGTTTTAAACAAGGTTCAGCCTGCTTAGTGCCAGGGCAAACACACCACTTAAAAGCCTTGTATTAAAGATCCAGAATAAGAAGGAAACAGAGTTAAAGCCTTTGAAATGTAAAGCATCACGTTCGGCTTTCGTTTTAATAGCATTCCGGGTTCCCTTTGCCTTTAGCTGGAGAGCATTTTTAGAAGGAAAAGACATCCCGTCTGGCAGCCTCTGAGTTGGTTTCCGAGATGGTGCCTACTGTCCTTTTTAGGGAAAAGATGAGTTAGTTGAGATGGGCTGGAGCTGTTTTTGGTTAAAGATCAATCCGTGGCTCCCAACCTTTCCGGATGACCGGACCCCTTTCAGGAGTCTGATTTGTCCTATATACTCCCAAGTTTTATCTCCCTTAATAACGACTTGCTTACAAAATCAGACCTAGAAATACAAAAGTGGCACAGCCCCACTGTTACTGAAATTTTTTTGACTTTCTCATTTTTACCATAGAATGATAAAATATAGCAATTGGAATATCAATATTGTACTTTAATTTCTGTGTATGGCGTACAGAGCAGTATAAAGAAGTCATTGTCTGTATGAAATTGTAGTTTGTACTGACTTTGGTAGTGCTTTTTATGTAGCCTGTTGTAAAACTAGGCAAATATCTAGGAGAGTTGATGTACCCCCTGGCAGACCTCTGGATATCCCTAGGGGTACGTGTACCCCTACGCGCACACACAGAATTCTGCTCCTGCCTTTCAAATTTCATTAAAAAAAAAAAAGTTCTAGCTTTCCAAGTGTGAAGAAAACCTGCCCTAAGGGTAAATTGCTTGTGGGTTGTCATCCTGAGTTTACAAACTGCCTGAAACTGCTGCTTTGAAAAGTATAAACTATCCCATTCCTCTCAATGGCTGTTGACTCTGAACCCTACCGCTGATCATTTAACACTTTTGACATTTAAACTATTTCACTGATGAGTGATTTTAGCAGAACTCTTCAGCTAATAGTCATAGCCCACACTCCAGGACTGCCTCCCATGCTGTCCCAAAGAGGGAAGTCAATATCAAAATGAATACAGGGGTCACGGTGCTGATTGCATCCTTTAATACTCGCTGCTGCAGAATTTTTCATTGTCATCGCAGGGACTTTGCTCCAGAGTGTAGGACCAGCGTGGTATGGGGTCTTCCGAGCAGTGCAGGCTCCTTGCTTTAAAATAATACTTCTCATTTATATAGTGCCTGCTGCCCATGGATCTGAGAGCACTTGTGGATAAATCTATACCCAAAGAGGGTGCAGGGTTTGGGGAAACTCCCGAGGGGTTACACGTGTGACATGGGGGGCTCAGGAGAGCAGGGCAGAGATTGCCAGTGCTCACCTGTGTTACTACACAGCGGGGATTTACTCTCTTTTGTGCTACACGTCACTAATACTAGCCTCAGCTTTCAGATGGGGAAACTGAGGCCTGGGGAGAGAGGACGTGATTTGCTGCCAGGCCACACAATGAGTCAGATGCTGAGCTGGGACTAGAACTCATGGGCCTGCTTCTCTCACCCCTAAATACTCTCCCCTGCTTTCTGCTGTGCCACCCTCTAGTTACTCAGCATGTCTCATGCACCGGGGCCATCTTGGGCAACATGCTGGGGCCTGACCCCGAGACCTCCCGAACTAAAAGCATCAGCTGCTATCACCTGAGCCAAAGCTCTCCAGCTGAGGCTGTCACAGGCTCCGGGAGGTGACACGCCCTGACCAATGGGTTCCGGCCCGTTCAGCCACTAACCGCCTCTTTCTCTTTTCTTTCACCTGCCAGACAATTCTTGGTCTTGGATTCCGAAATTTTGTAACTTGAAGGAGTTCAGGAAACGTCAGCACAGGCAGTACGAGGAGGCCACGGGGAACATGGTGCACATCAAACAGAAGCTGTATCATAACGGACATCCCAGCCCCCGACACCTCTGAGAAACGCCTTCCCCTCCAGAGACTGCAAAGCGATTTTAGAACTGGGCTTTTAGGGGAACGCCTGTGAGTTTGCTCCTCTATGGAAGACAGTGGAGGACGCCATTTTATTTATCTAGGCGGGGTGATTCTGAGGCACACCGCGAATGCACAACTAAGCCAGTTCTGGCTGCAAGGCAGCCAAGACATTGCACTGTGTTCGTTTTATTGTCGGACTTCTGTATATATGTTTAAAAAAAGGGCGGAGGGGGGAAAGATTTGCATTATACTTCCAAATCCCCCTCCCCACTGTTTGAAATTCTCCTGCACCGTCAGTGCACCTCTTTTGGGATCTGCTCTCCGAAGAGGTTAACGATGCTCAGGCGAGAGCTAGAAGCCTTTCAACTTGGTTTGCTCCATGATGTTTCCTTTCTGAGGCTGACTCATGCCGCCGCAGGTTTGGAGGGGGGCTCGTGCTGGTGCGTTTCCAAGGTGCAGTGTCCCTTTTCGTTAGTTATTTTTTGCGGTCAATGAAGTTCTAGAAATACACAAATGATTCGTTCTTCCTCTTGGTCTACAGCAAAACCTGCCTTAAGCAAAGGCCCCCTAGGAAGCTGCAAAACCAACCAATGGGATTTTAGCATTTTAAGAGGGCTGCTCCTGCTCCATCTCACACCAGTTTTATGTTGGTGTCACTCCATTGACTTCACTCCGTATTTACACCACCATGAGAGGAGACCTGGAGCCAGGGACTTCGGTGGGGTTGCTCCGGGGGCGAGAGAGGAGAATAAAACTCACTGAGATAAGTGGAGTTGCTTACACGGTGTACGGCAGATGTAAGGGGAAAAATCAGGCCCACCATTTGCTATATAAATGTTGAGTCATTCACCACCCCCCCTGGGAGGAAGTGAAGTATCACCACATGTTACAGATGGGGAAACTGAGGCACAGAGAAGGGCGGTGCCCGTGAGTCGGTGGGAGTAGGCCCTGGAGACTCCCCTCCCCTAGCCCCAAGCTCTCGAGCAGTTGCCTCGCTCTTCGCGTTAGTGCTCTGAAGGTCATGCACCGCTTGGGAATACTTCAGGGGGCTGTTAGTGGAGGTGAATAGATTTGAAGCTAAACCCCAGCTCCAAGCCCCCCACTGCCGGATGGGTTCAACCAGAGCCTTGGGTCACAGCCTGCACCAGGAGGTGGGGAACTTAGCATCTGATCGGACTCAGGCCTAGCTTTAGGCTTAAGTGCAGGTTTCAGCGTAGCGATTGAGGGTTGTAAAAACGCATTCACGTCCAGAGAATGCCCTTAACATGCTGGTAGTGCTGCCTGAGCTAAGGTTACGTGACAGTAGCCCCTGTGCATCGATACATTTCCGGCAGGGGACACAGGGAGCACTGTAGCAAACTCAGTCAGTTGGGCACGGATGGTTCCACTGATTTTTCAATGGGACTATTCGCAGAACAAGCTTCTAACTCAGTGTGAGTAAGGGGCGAGGGGCCGGCACCAAGAACTGAAGGGTGAGTCCTTGTTTCTACTGAGGTCCTATTGTATTACTTAGTGGGCTTGAGTTTAATGTTGACTTCAATGAGCTCTACGGCTTGACTGCAGCTCAGGCGCTGGCCCCTTGCCGTCAGTGGAGACTGGCTACCAAGCTGTCTTGGATGGTTTAGACACAACAAATCCTGCATCTGGACAGAGGGTTAGACCAGCTGACCCTGGCGGGACTTTCTAACCCTGTGATTCCATGATGCCAATTTACACAACCCGAGGATCTGCCTTTCATTTTTTGTAAGATAGAGAACAGCCCCGTGGAAGGAAATTAGGGTTACCATACGTCCTCTTTTTCCCGGACATGTCCGGCTTTTCGGCAGTCAAACCCCCGTCCGGGGGGAATTGCCAAAAAGCCGAACATGTCCGGAAAAATGGCGGCTCTGTTTGAGAGCCGGGCTGCCTGAACGCTACCGGCTTCACGGTTTGCTGGGCGCTTCCCCTCCCGGGCTCCAGCTGCGCTGGGGAAGCGCCGGCCGGGGGCGCAGGGTCTGGGGGCTGCCCGGGAAACCGTGATGCTGGTAGCACTGGGGCAGCCCTTTC